TAATTAGCTTCTTTTCCAGGCAGCTCTCTGTGGAGATTTTAATTATGATTTGGCATCAGTTGGCAGGGAGGATGATTCAACCACTCAACCACTAGATGTCGCTGAAAACAACAAATCCTACACACTGTGCATTTAATTGCACATTGTACCAGTAAGAGCAGAATGTGAAGGTTCAATTAGCGGGGTAAGAGCACAGGTTTGCGCACCCACTTTGGATGTTATCATCCATTAAATAGACGTTATTGGCCATTATCAGTCCCATATAATGGCTTCAGACTGTCCCGACTGTGCCGCCTAGTGGGTTCTACATCCCATAGAATGGCTTCAGACTGTCAGCTGGTTAGTGTGAGGCATAAAGGCACTACGGTTAATTTCAGAGAAAATGACATGGGCTACGATAAAATAGACCAGACTCCAGCGGTAGCAGATTGTTGCATTCCAATGTGTATGGCACTGGTAACCCACTAGGGGGCACAGTTGGGATAGTCTGAAGCCATTCTACGGGACTGATAACCTCTAATAACGTCCATTTAATGGACTGATAACATCCAAACCGGCTGGTTTTGCTCAACATGTTACAATGCACACAACATTATGGGTGACACACCAGAGCTCAAAAGAGGACAAACTGTTGGTGCATGTCTTGCTGGCGCATCTGTGACCAAGACAGCAAGTCTTTGTGATATATCAAGAGCCACGGTATCCAGGGTAATGTCAGCATACCACCAAGAATGATCAACCACATCCAACAGGATTAACTGTGGACGCAAGAGGAAGCTGTCTGAAAGGGATGTTGTGGTCTAAAACCAGGTGTTTTAGTTTCATTGTCTAAGCCCTGCATTTATACAGGGATAAAGCATGCAAACACAARGGACATTAATCCTGAAAATCCTGTAACAAAACCAAATACAAAAATCATTATCGCACTTAAAATGTTTAGCTGGTGTAGTGTGGATGGCCCATGAAGAACTGTTTCTGAGTCCAAGTTGTTGAGTATCGGTACTCTTAGGAAGTGTATTCACTGCTGGGCCTTCTTCACCACCTATGTTTTAAACAAAAATGCTGATAAGTGTAGTACTGTGGCTGTGTCTCATTTGGTGGGTTGCAGCTGACGTCGGACGCTTACATCTATGCCCCGCGCCGTAGGCTGTCCCTATTTGTAGATGCCTACTCATGCAGGCGACAAAACCCTGAAGACGCAGGCTGCATACAGACGCGGCCAAAGGTATCCTAAAATTCACTGCATCATCAACAAATTAACCAGGAAAACAAAGACAGCAACGTTTTTTCATTGTATAGCGGGTTTGTATTTTTCATGACGGAGTTTGGAAATTTATCACGAACTGAAGAATGTAAGTTAAGCAACTTAACTGAAGAAATTTTTGTTGCAATGAAATGTTGAATAAAATGCCGTTACAAGTATTGATACTGGAGGTAAGCTCAAATTATTACTGCTTTTTATTTTTTTCTCTAYTAAAACTGAATTTTATGAAGTTATACCTTGAAGAAACAACTGAAGTGACGTGATGTAACGAGGCAGCATGTGATCATGTAAACATACATCTTCTGTAGACCAGAACGTCTCATTTCACAGCCGTTTATGCGGCCGACACGAGCGGCCTACGGCCCACGTAGACTGCTGTCTACGTCAGTTACAACCCATGAATTGAGACACAGCCAATGATTACTCAGCTACTACCACAGCAAAATATTTGCCTTTAACTTTGTCCATATATCTGTCCAAATCCACATTTTTCTAAGGGAGGTCATTGGTGATAATTACAGCTAAATGACGTTGCATTATGTACCTCAAACAGTCAAAGGTTAAACTCTGACTGATATATCAAACAAATATAAATTCAAGGCGCATCAAGAAAACTGTTGACGTAATGCTGCTTTTGAAACATGGAAAATCTTATACGAGAGTGGTTGAACCCTGAAAACAAAAATAAAAGAATTCTCGGGAGTTGGCAGAAAAACCTTCACACCGGTGGACACATGCACACATGCAGTAATTTGAGCGGCAGCGTATCATCTCTGTAACCACATCTGTTTCCTGCGTGTGGACAGAAGGAACCCGACACCCCACCGTCCTGTGCAGAAACTCCACAGTCATCACTAATATGGGCAAGAATATCAACATTTAATATTCACAAGGAGACCGCAGAGGTCAAAGCTCGGGCTAAGGAGGAGGAGATTCTGCACACTTCTTGCAGGTGAACAGAAACGATCCCGACTGAAACTCATTCTCCTTTAAGGTTAAGGTCTCCTGCTGCTGAAATATTAGCGCACACCCCCAGAGCTGAAGAATGATCATGCATTTGCACTTGTAGTGTTAACAAAACGTCTCCATGAACCACCTGACCTACTTTAATGAAACCTTCACAACCCTAAAACAAACACAAACCTACTTTTAAATGAACTGGTTTCACATGATGGGTTCATTTGTGTTTTTTCCTAAAGATTTTTTAAACTCTGCGCTCAAAAGACTGGATTGAAGAGGACAGATTTGCAATAGGAATAAAAAAGCAAAAAAAAAAAAAAACAACACACACACACACACATTAAAAGGTTATGAACTTTATTGTCACATAAATGGCCACTTTGTAATTATTCCACCGTTAACCTTCCTCTGTTTTTTTTTTATTTCCCTCTTAGACTGATAGACACTAACAAACTTAAATTATAGTTTATGTTTCATTATCAAAAAAAATCCACCAACACAAAGCAAAACTTTTAATATTCTGCGTGCAGATGTTTGTAATTTTATATTTGATTTTAAAAAATGTCTTCAAATGAAAATATGCTCTAAATTAGAGCGAGCAGGCTGCAGTGTTTGATGAAGTAACAGACAAGGCCAATGCTGCCAATAGAGATGATTTGTTGAGTTTCAAGGCAGCCGACCTTCAGCTTTAAACTGCATTGAATAGAAAGGAGCACACACACACAAACGCAAGTTGTGAGGTGCCGAATGCATGCATCAACATGAACTTACATCTCTGCTCCAAACGTATACGCGCATTATTCCACAGCTTTCGATAAAAAGAGTGATGTAAAAAGAACACAGGTAAAAAGAACACAGGTACAAAGTACATGGAGTGTGAGCGCGCTCAAACACACAAACACACACGCACACTGCTGCATCCATTACACGTGTGCAGTGCAAGATGACAGGTGAAATCAATCAAGCTGAACAGGAGCATCTTTGAGTCAAAAATCAATCAGAGAATCTGATTCTAGCAAGACAAGCCGACCCGTAKCGGATCTTTCCTAAGTCTAAACTGAAGTACAAGGAGGATGAGGACGTGTGGGCGTGGCCTGGCAAAGCCTGGGCCCGCCCACTTTCTGGCAAAGCCTGCCCTTGTAGTGTACATTTTCTTTTTTTCTTTCTTTTTTGGCAATAAGTTAAACAAAAATTGTAGGAAATAAAGGACAGTTCTAAGCTATCRATTATTTTTTTATGAAGAATTAAAAAATTACATTAAATCTGAGAACTCTAGAATCTTTATGGCTTCCATTCAGGGTTTTATATTTTATTTTACACATCTTGTAGGACCCATAGTCAACAGGATTCATTTCCATGGCATAAAATTGAGAAATCTGTCAAATCTGTAAAATAAGATAAGTGATGCCCTAAGGTATGTTTGCATGTTTGATGATCAAAAAAGGTTAGAAACACAAATTCTTAGAGGATAACTTCTGGCTGCTGCCAACACTTCCTCCTGTCCTGCATGTCGAAAGTCACTCTGTAGCAGGTACACCTTGAATTAGGTTTACAAATTAACCAGGACACATTTATTTCACTCTTCCATCCTGTACCAAGTCGCTGCAGTTAGCAGCTACAAGTCACATGGGAACTGTTACTTTTTTTGTGTAAAAAACTAATCAGATTTGTGTAAAAATCAACAGCTACACAAATCTTGGTCCTCACTGGAGTAAACCTTACATTGTGTCACCTCGGTTCAGCTTCTTGTTTAAGTGGAACATCCACTCCAAAGGTCTTATTTATTGTACGGATTATTGCTGTTTGTTTGATTTTAGATTGCATTTTGTTGGGGACTGCAGATGGAAATGAGCTTAAGCTAAACGTGGTGCAAAGCATACTTTTTATTAATGTTTCATTTGCACATTGTCCCTGTTTAAATACATAGAAAGAAATGTGGCTTCAGACTAATTTGTTTGGAAAAAAGAGAGAGAGAGAGAGAGAGAGAGAGAGAGAGAGAGAGAGAGA